AGGCTGTCAAGGGAATTATAGGGCAGCGCGAAATCCGTCTGAAAGGCACCAGCATGTGTGGCTGGCACAATATCCAACGCACCAATTGCGTGTCGCCATGATGAGGCTGAAAAGAGATCTTCCTGACGTATTAAGGGCCTCTGTGAGGTGCTGAATGGATGGATCAGGGGGAGGGAAGGTGCGTGTGAGTGTTGAAAGGAAGGCCGCTTATGTTTTGGAAATATTAGCACGACCTCGACGCTCGAGGGAGGAATCTTCGACTTGTGTAAGCGTGACACTAGCATAATGAGTCACGACCTCTCCCTCCTGCTACCATTGACCTCTAGACGTCACTGGTCTTGCAGGCTGTATAGCTCGCGTTAAGTCCCTGATAAACGAAATATCTTTCACCATGCACGCATGGGGGACCTACCCGCTATTCTTGTACACCTGTGCCAAACGCTACCACACCCCACTCTCAGGATGCTGGTGACATTCCTCAATGTCGTCTGTTATCCATCTCTTGCTTTCACACGGAAGCTTCTTTATACTCGCATCTCCGTAAACGCCTAGGTACCCAGACCTTATGATAGCCGGCAAAACCTTGGCGCCCACTAGCACACTACGTACCATAGTTTCAGCACCTCATTTATGTATAGCTCCTACCACAACAGCACCCAATATACTAACCTTGAGCGATTCTTCGCTACTTTATGCTATCCGAGCTTATTAGCTTACCACCCTCTCTCGGTATGGCCCCCACACGCACGAGCCACCTAGTAACCCCTAGATACTTATCGGTTTGATCTGATCGAGGATCCTAAAAAAATCCCGTCGTCCTTGGGGATAGACCCCAACCGGCAAATTCATCAGTCGAAGTTGCCTCCCGCAAAGCTATTAATGTGCTTAATGTACACGGGTACTTGGGGAAGATTAGTGATCATGTTAGATGGCACAATATGGTTTAATTGGAACGACTTGTTTGGTGTGCGTAGCACTCAAACCATGTGCCTATGATAAGTCTATCTCTAAATAACTACGACGATTGACACGCCGCCTACATATATAACTTCTAACGGAACGAACGGAACGCCACCACCGTGGTGTACATTCAAGTTGCCGCACAAGAGTCAGGACCTCTGGTACCCTGGTGCACATTTACGAACACCACGAGATAGATATTGCAAGCTTAACCTTACTGACTCAATAGCCCATATGAGTATTGGCCCACCAGCCCAGCGCTAGGACCTCGTGTGGGAACTCACGTTGTCGGTTCGAGATGACGGGGTCGCAACGGACATTCTGTCGGTTCCAAGGCGCGCCTTTGTTCCTGCATGTCCACCTCCGCGCTAACATGACCATCCCCTTGCTTATGGTGGGTCCGCTGCCTGTCATGCCACGCCCCAATAAGTTCATCCTCTTCATACACCCTTCACCTCATCCACCAAATTTGTTCCCGGCATACGGCATATTTCCCATCATCCACTCTTGCCTCAGACCCCGTAGCAGCACCGTCACCATGAAGTCAAGGGAGGGTACTCTTGGTGGTTCCTTTGATGCCTTCCAACGCCACGAAATCTGACACCGTCCACCCCGTCTATGTCAGTTTAAACTCGTCCACCGGAGAATTCACACGTCCGGGAAATGGTACTCAACCTAGCTTCTTTCATGCGATCCGTCGACAATCTTGACTTTATGCCCAATTTGACCGTCCAAGGGACCCTATACCGTATTCACTAGTGATTGCCGAACATTCTGAGAAACTCGCAAGGTGGAGAGTTCCAGTTAACACCCGGCCACCATCCCTCACTGGTAAGTATATCTTGCCGAATCTTTCGTTCTCCCCCTGCTATGGAAACTATTTCCATAGCCATCCTTCTAAATTTAGGAGCCAACAATGCTCAAAGCAATACTCTCGCATATCTTACTAGTGCTTCATCTGGACGTTTCATCTTTCGTATTATACTACATCTCTCCAACCAACACCAACTGTGCAGCCTCACATTGATAGAGAGACACCCTATCAGGCGCCGTGTGCTCTTAATCGACATTCACTAGCAACTCGTCAATCCTCGTCGGCACCCCTCGTCCTTGCCTTCATCACCTAACCCCCCTCCATTCATCTTGACGCCTTCATATGGTTGGGTGATCACGAGTAGTCACGATGTTGGTATGTTTGAGAGCAGTAGCCCTGATGCGGTTTAGGATAGAATGAATGACGTATTCCTCCTGGCTCTCACTACTCGCTCACCGTCCTGTTCCCCATGATGGGATTTGATTGCTGTTAATGGTGCACCATCCATGTTGTAGCTGTACTGTAACACTGTCACTATCGCACCGATATAGCTTACACCACACTAATTCATTGGCCCAGAGGGATTCCCTTGGCAACTGCAAGGGCTCGGGCTAGGGCTCGGCTAGGCCCTGATTTTCCAAGGTACATTCTCACATTTTGTCGATGTGTACCTGCTGCGCAAAGTATTCTTGTTTTTTGAAACACAAACCAGGACCACACCTAATATACGGTATGGGAGACTACTCGGGTGCAGTGCCCCCGCGATGTGTCCTCGTGTATGTGGTGGTGGAAAGGATGCTCACGACTTCAAATGGGTGCACATGGCCCCTCATCATATTGTGCTTGGAGCTAGTGGAATTCGAGGCATGTGACTGACCAGTGAGAGATATTCTGTTGTGTTCATGCGGTTGGCACGCAATAGCCCATGACACATTTTCAGGACGGGGTGTTTGAGGTCTACGTTGCGCCTACTTTGGAGAGTACGATTGACCGGTGTTCCGGCATTTACTGAAATAACCTCTGTATGAAATGCCGAACACGGCTGTGGGAATTCTGTCCGCTCCGTTGGAACCAGTCACTCCGACTCTCTATATATAATTGCCCCAATGTTTATAGCGTGATTTGACCTCGCTGACCTCTAATCATGGAGATTTGCAGCCATCGTGGTCTAATTGGGTTCCCAAAAAACCTGTACCATGTTTAGAACAAATCCCCTGGTCAGATTATGGACTTTCAAGTTAGGGGGAGTGCACTCGGCCACGATATGCATCGAGCACGCAGTGGGGGTGTGTTATTGGTGTTTCGAAATTCTTCGACGTGGCGTGAGGACCGCATTCCCACCGAAAGCTGTTTATGACAATTGACATTGAAATTCTCAACTTCCTCCGGCCAAAAATACTATGCCTCTGGTTCTCTTAAAACGCCAGTGAACCAGCAGCGACCATCCTTACTCACAAGGGCCATGGCCACACCTACATCAACATCAACAGGAGATGATCATGGCATTCCAGCGGCCAACGAAGTAGCATGTGCCTTTACTTCTGCCCTTATGCTGGGTGTCTACCTAGTCACATTCGCGTTCACTGTCCGATGGTTACTCTTCGCAAATGAGGGGTGGAATAAAAGGAAGAATATTAGCTGGCCCATGATCTTCACAGCAATCTTCATGTTCGTGATTATCACGGCCCACACAGCGTTGGATTTAGAAGGTACCATGGACGAAGTACAGCGTCTTGCAGAGCCAAAGCATTCAGATATGGACCAGGATTCTCCGATTTGGATAGATATCTGCAAGGTATGAATTAACTTATGCCAACGTAAGATCAAATTGACCATCATAATTCTTAGTTTACATTCGCAAACTCCGTTGCCCTCGCTGCTGATATGGTCCTTGTAAGTTGTTCAAAGACCCCTCTTCACACTCAATTAAACCACCACCCCCACAAGATATATCGATCCTATGTTGTTTATGGCAACAACATGTACATCATTGCATTCCCGTGCTTTCTATGGATCGGTGGCCTCGTATGCACCGCTCTACAAATGTACCTCCAAATCGCCCATTTGCACAATCCTAATATTGGGCCCTACCGATGGGCAGACGTGAATATGACATTTGGCCCTGGTATTGTGTTGATACCCTTCTGGGGATCGACGACGTTGTTAAACGTTTATTGCACTGGTAAGATTCCGCATCCAAATTCGTCAGCGTCAACCATCATACTAAGGTCCTCCTTTAGTTGTATTAATTAGGCGGGTATACCAAGCGGCTAACCGGTCACAAGAGTTTGCGGCCGTCAAGCAATTCCGGTTCATCGCACGTTGCATAGTAGAATCCGGTCTCATATCTATGTCTATTTCGCTTGCACACTTCGTGGTTTGGTTCACATCCGCCAATTTTGCGATAGAAATCGTTCGCATTATCGTGAGTTTACTGTTAACGATTCTTGCAGCTACTGATAATTAGATTCGTTGACAGAATGTTCCGCTAATAGGCATAGCGTTCAATCTCATCCTTATCCGTATCGCTTATAGCAGGAGGGAAGATCTCGGTGACAAGATCCTCGGAGAACTTACGTCGGTCGAGTTTAGTATGAATGGTGGTCATACCGCAAATTCCTGGCCAGAATCCAGGACACAATGCCAGGAGGGCCCAGTCGCAATGCGTTTGAAGGGCGAATCCCCTCCGCTTGGTGGAACACCGAATCGCACTTGACATCTCATGATATTAAAAACTACGTGCCCTAATTTTGAACACACTTAATCGGCCACTGTCGTATTTCATGAGACAATATATAGTTTTATTTGACTCCCGACCCGAGATTCACCCGTCACCTTTTCGTCTCGGTTGCTTCTGGGTGAGAATTTATTCGCCGCATTATCAAATGTGAGAATTCGTGGTCACGATCTGTTATGATCACAACTAAGTAGCATGCGCTGACTTTCCTTTTATGCCATTCCCAGATTTTGGTGAGCTTCCCACTCCGGTTTCGCTTTGGGTGAAATCCATCCTTGGACAGCAGTAGCTAACAAGATCAGGAGAACGCTGGCCTCCCCCAGTACTGTTGCAATTCAGAATTGCGTCAGCGCTCCCCCGTCACGACTCACAAGCTCCCAGACCACAGAGGCCCCCATGCCTGCAAGCAATGCCGAACCAGCGCTTGCGATTCTGGGACAACCCGTCCAATGCCAGGCCGCAGATAACCAACGGAAAACCTTTCACAACGGCCGCCTGGCGAAATGGCATCGCGTCTGACTACGATTTAAACCTCGAAATCAGGAGATTGCAGGTTCGACCCCTGCGGTGGTCACTGAAGGAAATATGAAGCAATAAGTACCATCCATGGTATTTGTAATGTTTTGGTCAGCTGGGTCTATCCAGCGATAATTATGCTCCCTCACTTTCCCCTGACAACTGTTCGACGTTCAACTCCGCACGCCAGCTGACCGACGAGGACTGAGAATATCCGTTCTTCCAACAGTTCCAAGTGTCCTGGGTTATAAGCTCCTCAGACTCAAATATTTCTCTAATGAAAAACTCTACACTTCGTGATAATTCTTCGAGTCATCGGCCAAAACAGTCTACTAGGCTCCCCCCTAGCTCCTAGCTAAACTCTTCATCTGCTCCTCAAGCTTGACGAAAGTAGGGATGACATAATTTATGATGCTTTCGTATTCCCTCTTGACAACAAGGGCAAACGAGAATTTCGGTTCGGAAACAGATTCGCGGTATACCACAGGATGAATTGGGTCCGAGACGGAGAAGAGCTGATGACGGAGAGAAAATAGAGGTTGGGATAGGATTGAATTTCAAGAAATGTAGTAATACTGACGGCTAATCGGTGGATAGGATGCATCTTCCAATAGAAATCCCCTGCTTCCGTAGAGATCATCTGGACCGTGCTATAGAGCATGAGAGGGGGACGGCTAATGGGGGGCAATTAGAGGCACTTACAACCCATCATCCAACTTATGCTCTTTTACAACGTCTCTCCTACCTCCTTGATGAGCATTAAACACAATCTTGTCCCTCTTGAAAATTCTCCTCTGTATCAACGCCAATTCTGTACCGGTGATGGCATCCAAGATCCTCGTATGTTGTGCATTTCGACCGGTGGTTGATAATTTGTATCGAATTTGACCATTTTCGAGGAGGTTGGCGTTCAGCGTGCTATCCTTGCTAAAAACCAATCGGGTGATATGACTTTCTGGATTTACGAGGGTGGTTGTGGATTCCATATTCAGGTCGCTGCGGGGGATTTGACTGGAAAGGGACCCGGGGCTCAAATATTACCAGGGTGTAGTGCAGCGTCTTGAAAAACCGGACCTCCTACCTGGCGGTCGATTATAACCTCGGTATGGCTGTGACTACATTTCCTGTGGCGTGCGGCGTGGGTTCCCCGGTTACTTCGGGCCCTTGTTGCATTGCTGTGCGCACCGCAGCACCAAGACATAGTACAAACGGCTCCTTCTGCCCGTTGGCAGAACCTGGGATTCCGAGCACTTTATGAAGGTTACACTGCCACCACCATGACAGCGATAGAGCGCACCGGACCGTTCGTGAGTTTACCGCAAAGGCACACTGTGCGGCTCTGCTTCTCGGAAAAACTACGAGGCACCGTTGATTCGCCCTGCGATCCCGCAAATTATAGATAAAGATGGACACACATATGTTTCATGCGAACAAATTGGAGCGGGACTTCTGGCAGACAGACCGTTTGCTCCATCATAAGTTCGAATAACAACTGAATAGCGACACCCGCAATACAGTTTTCCCCTCAGCAGGCCAAGGCAATCTGAGCCGCTCTCCTCGTGACCTCAGTGGGTTCGGCATTGACTGAGTTTGATAGCCAAACCTTCAGCTACTGGGTGTGGATATCATAGAGCTCTCGGTACACCCTATTGCGGAGCCATGGCACCTGTGTTGGTTGGTATCAAGGGAATTGATTATCTGATAGATTTGTGCCTTCGCTGTCCGGCACATCGGTGCTGAGATTGGATGGCCCTAGTACAGTAAAATATGCTCGGGCAACTCACCCAATCAGAGCGCACATTGTGGTAGTCATTGGTGACTCCTTACTTCTCTACGTTACTTCTAAATCAGAGCCGTTCACTGAGGGAGTGATTGAAGACGGAATCTTTGTGCGCCCTAGTGGCAGAGTGCAAAGACGCAGGAACGTTTGTCTTGTCGCACGAGCGGGTCCATTGTCCCCGGACCTCGGACCACCGGAATCTCTGTGGTCCAGAAAAGGTCACCACTTCATGATCACAGGTTAACACTTCACGGAGTGTCGAACGGCCGTCCGAGAGAGATACATAAGGTGGCAAGGCATACAAGAATCGTAGCCCAAGGGTTTGGCCGAAACAGGGGCGTAAGGCCTGAGAATGGTAGATGTATAGATACTGCCTGGTTCCTTCGGATCCCCACATTCGACAAGGTGGTAGAGAGCATAGAGTCCGATTTTAGGTCCTGTAGGGCTTTCTCCTGTGGGTACTAGATGATAAATATTGGGTATTGTCGATTTATGTAGGACGCTGATGGCTTGTGTGTTTTCATATGTAGCCGTCTTTCCCAAGACCCTTCAGGAACTCGGTCCAGAAGTTTCATTGTAGTGCAGCGCTCATGGGCATGAGACCTGCGTGTGAGAGCGAAAGAGTGTTGGTCCACAATGTGTCGGGCGTCAATTAACATAGAGCCTTGCTGTCGCAGAGGTTCATCCATGGAGCGAGAGGAAGTTGACGCTAAGGTTCATACTGTCACGTTTACGGTAATCCCATTCCTTTCTCGTGGATGACCTCGAGCCAGGAGAGCGATTCTAAGAGTAATGGTTATTGACAGGATAAAACAAGGCCCGGTTGTAGCACTCAGCGTGTGGGATTGGACCACTCAAAAACACTCGTAAGGGGGCCTACGTGCCGGTTTGCAAAACAGGTCCAAGGATATTTGGAGTCCCTAATTTAAACGTGGGCCGCCTGGCGAAATGGCATCGCGTCTGACTACGATGTATATTATCGAAATCAGGAGATTGCAGGTTCGACCCCTGCGGTGGTCATCTTTTTCTGTCACATTTTTGCTTCTTGTACTTACGGGTCCTCTCGCACAGCCTCAGGCGAACCTGAAATATAAGATTGCCACAAATCAGTCGGCCTCCTGCGCGATCCTGGGCCAAGTCATTAAATACGTTTGTCATACAATCCTTTCTAAGCAAATTTTCTGCAGTTTGTACATATGATTCCCCATGTGCACCACAAACTGGCATTTCACGTCTACGAATTGAATCCAGCACAACGTATAAACATGTATAAGTATAATGGATAACATAAGAAGATCGAAACAACAACGCAGGTATATCAGTGCCCTCGACGATCAGAAATTCTCTTTAGAACAATTGGTGAGCTCGTTTGTCAACTAAGAAATGGAGATAACATACCCTTGCCGAAGAAGAATCGCGTTCCTTTAGGATCGGACCACTTGTTAGACATCTGGTGCAATGTTTTCGACAGGACCGCCGGACCACAGAAGAACTAAAATATGACGAGTCATAAGCGCCTACATTTTAAATGCTCAAGAGTGAGAACATACCACGCCGACGTCAGTCTCAGAATGCTTCTCCGCAATCGAACTAAAGACTTTATCCCAGTTAGGACGACCAAAGTGAGTAGGAGCCCTCAAGGAAGTGATAGCGTCCTTCTCAGCACCAACATCCTGAACAATGATGTTGTTCATCTCGTCCTCCTTCAGCCTGGCAGTAAGGTAGATATTGATTTCGATACGGTTCTGTGTATCTTGCTCCTCAATTGCGTGAAGGAGGGAGTGGAACCACTCGGCAGCGCCGAAGTCACGGATGACCCAAGTGAAGTAGACCTAGAATGTATTGTCAATCGCGGTCCTAATAAGCACTAGTACCAGAAGGAGCCTGACCTTGGAGAGGCGGGTGGGCTTGGAGTTGTTGAGGTTGTTCATGCGGTACCAAATAGACTTGAGAATGCTAAGCGGGACCAATATCAGCACAGAATCCCCTGGGGTAAAGAAATTTAGACGTACGAAGCGAACGGAGTAACACCGATACCAGCACCGACCAACAATATTGTCTCAAAGTTAGAAAAGTCCTCACTAGCACTCCCGAACGGACCGTCGACCATGACACGAGGGAGAGTAAGGTTCAGAGGCGGGTTAACGTTGGTGCCGACCACTTTTCCACCGGCGCTATCCTTCTCTCCCTTTCCACCTTTATCCTTCGAGAAATTACAACCACAAGCCTGGGCGAGCGCCTTGGTAAAGTCACCCTTGACAGAAATATGGACAGACAGGTAGTCTTCTTCAGGAGCGCTAGATGATCCGGTGATGTGAGTATGTGAAAGTGACAGTGAAAGGGTGGCGTGACGCACCTGGTGAGGGTGAAGGGGTGCCATTGGAAATATGAAACCTCAGGGCAGCAGATGAAGATGTATTGGCCAGCCCGAACCTTGGTCTTCTCCTTCTTGATTTGGATCTCCATGACGTTTGAGGGGTGTTGAATGACCTTGGAAATGTAGGTGTAGTGACGGGAGCGGATTTCACGCAGGATGCGCTCGTAGATCCAGATGACTCCACCAACAAGCCAATACCTCTGTTCCATTGTCAGGGCTAGTCAGATAGCGAAGAAAATTTACTCACCCAGAATACTCCAATATTGTTGAAGGAGCAAAACGGGGGACGATCGGGTTGGATCATGCAGAACATGCCATGAAGCTGCCAGCAGATGAAGAAGACGATGAAGAGGTGATGAGAGTACCAGAATCTCTCGAAGTGAGCGCGCCGATTCTTCTCAAGGGCGAAGAAGACCATGATACCCAACGCGAGAGTCATGACCCAACCGGTAGCACCGGGTCCGGTCGTGAAGTTGACGGCAAGGAATGAAACGATTCTCTTGCCCGTGGTCGTGGCGGTCGGATCAGCAAGTGCGAGCTTCGCGAAGTTGACCATGTGCGCAGCAATGTGTACAACGGTCCAAAATACGATGGACCATGCTGTCGCTTTGTGGAAGGTAATGTTCTTGTCGAATGGGATAATATCGTTCAACGGGGTGCGGCGAAGGAGCGAAATGAAGTTCCGGCAGACGGGAAGGAGAATGAAGATTACATCGACATGGAGGACCAAGGCGGCCGTGCGGGCAATTGCTAATACTTGAATGAGAACAATAACAGACCTCAACAAAAAGAAATACATACGGAAGGTGACACCAAATGTGTTTCGGGCATTGACCGAGTTATCCTTGAGCTGGTAATTGAGGAAACCGAAAACAGCGACCAGCAGATGCAAAAAAATCCA